TTCGCTTCGCAGTAGAGAGCGACGATTTTGTAGAATAAAAAAGTTGTTTCTTTAACAAAAACGCGTCGATTGAGCCTACCTTCATCAAAATCGGAAGTGAGGCCGCTAAACTGGATAAGTATCGTTTTCTTTTATATTCCTTTGCATAAATAAATTTTAATCATAAATTAATTATAGATTGAATTTATATAATTTAATCATAAATTTGTGTAAAATAATAAAGATGTGATTTTTTGTAAGAAAATATTAACTGTTTTGTATTCAGAATTCCATACAAGAAAAGAACACTAGCACTCAGGAAGAGGAGATAAAATTCTACTGACATTAGTTGTAAAGTTTTCTATTTTATACTATAAAGAGCTTATAAAGTCATGATTTTAGTGTTGATGGATTTTCTAATTTATATAAAAGAAAATTAATAAATTAATGCATTTTAAAGCAACTAGTTTTAGTTAAAAGTTGATTCATTTAGTACTAAGTTAACAGTTATTAACTATTAATCAATAACTCTCTCTTTTGAGTTACTATTAAGTTGAAAGTTTTTAATTTTTTAACTTAACTTCTAACCGATCAACTAGTTATTACCCAATCCTGAATAGGAACATCTATCTTACACACTTTATTCTCTTCTTCATCATCGCTAACAGGTACAGATTCATGCAGATGGTTTCCTACTTCTCTAAGGGCATTGTTTCTCTCCAACTCAGTTGCTTTCAGGCTCTCATCATTCCTCTGTATTGCCTCATCAATAAGGACACGTATTCTTTTGATCTGTGTCACTGTTAACGTCTTCAGGCTCTCAGAGGTCAAATTATCGAGGTCGTCGATGATCACCTGGGGCACCGTGTCATCGTCGCCGAGCGATTCCTTCTTTTTCATTTTCTCACCGATTTCTTTGCTGCACAAGTTCTTTAATTTGTTGAAGTTATCGGCGCGATGCCTCAGTTGCCGCCAGTGTTTGTCTTTCTCGATGACAGTGTCCACTAAATAGACATCTTTGAAACGTCTCTTCTGGTTGTCACGGATCTTTTCCGGTTCGAAGCCCTTGTCCTTGCGAAATAAATCCAAATCCAAAACCATTTTTCACAATTTCACGCTTCCCAAAGGATACTCAACCAGCTGCCGAATGATGAGGTCACGTAATTCAGTATTTTCGCAAGAATATTACACTAAGATACTCTATACTTTTCTCTATGTAACTTATTATATAGATTGAAATATTTACTCAGAATATTCTAATATCCGAATGTTAACTACCAATGTTTTTCGCACAATATCCGGTGACAACTCACTGACACGCGTCAAACGTGCGTGTAAGGAGCAATATGCTTCGTGAAATAAAATGATGAAATATGAAGTGTGTTCGGGGAGCATACCAGAGAGAAGAAGGAGAGACGTAATGGGCCGGTTTTAGGGGATCCCGATTCAGCAGAATGGCTACAGCGCCTCTAACTGTGCATATAAACTACGTAGCCAATGTGCACGAACTGTCTCAGTGGGTAAAAAAGTAATGTCCACAATTCTATTTGGTGCAGAGCAGGGTTGAGTACGCATAATACTTCACGTTTTATGCGTGAAGTTTTATGTGTAGAAAACTCGAGTAATCTGCGCAGATAACTAAATGAGGTTTTTCTGTTGCATAAAACTTCCTTTAGAGCTATTCTACAATTGCGTAAGCGTAGTCGTAAATGGTTGTAAATAATTACGACAACCAATCAGAATAAAGTAATCAATGAACAAAACATTCTGATTGATTGGCTTTATAACTATTTTGTATATAAGACAAAGCATAAATATTTGTCCTGATCATGAAAAACATGAAATTTTGAATCTAGTTCATCTGTATTCTATTTTTTTAATTTCTTTATATCTACATGTACAGGGTGTCCCGAAGTCCCATGATGACCCTTGGTGAGAACGTAGAACGGATTGAGGTGAGCAAGAAAGTCCTGTGCCGTTTTGCGATATTCGCAATAGTTTTTGAGAAATTAATTATTTTGTCTCAACAAATCAGCGTACAGAAAGCGGCAGCGGAAAGAA